GGCATCAGATTCTCTGCAGGAAGAAGGGTTGGACCATTCCACTGCCTACAAGGTAATTGATGGTGTGCTTCACACATTGCAAACCATGAGGTCTGAGGAGAAATTTGGAGAGATATTTAGATGTGCATCAGAGAAGGCAGAGAGTTTCAACATTCCAGTACCTACCGTGGTGCCTGGTCAGGAGAGAAAGCGGAAAGTTCCAGTGCGTTTCCAACACAGCACCACAGTGTCTCAAGTAGGTGCTCAGTTTGAGTCAGTGGAGGCATATTTCAGGAGTGGTGTATATTTCACCTTTCTGGACATCATGACTGGGGAACTGAACAGGAGGTTCAAAGGGGACAATACTGGAAGCCCAACGGCCAGAATCATTCAGTCCTTCCAGCCCTTAACTGTGCATGCTAACTGGGTAGGCCCACCAAACCCAGAAGCCATTGAAGCTGTCCACATCCTCTGTGAATTCTATGGAGAAGATGAGGACCAGCTCAAAACAGAATTAAAGGTCTTCCACTCCAGCTTTAGTTCAAAAGACCTCAGAGAAATATTTCTGATACTGAGGGAAAACAATGGCCAGCTGATCTTTCCTGCCTTTGTCAAAATGATTCAGATCTACGCAACACTACCAGTGACAACTGCGACAGTTGAAAGATCCTTTTCAAAGCTAAAAATAATCAAAAATAAACTAAGAAGTTTGTGTGGAGAAGAAAGGTTGTCTGATCTCCTCTTGTTGGCCATTGAGAAAGATGTGGAGATCAATTACAACGAGGTCATCAACATCTACAAAGACATGGCACCAAGAAGGATGCTTCTTTAGAGCAGTACACTCCATTTAATGGACACTTGAGAATATGTATGTATATAGTTTAGAGTTGGATACAGATTTTATCTTTGCTTCACTTATTGGGCAATATTGCAAAGCAGTTCGGCAGATTCATTTTTCCTTTGGTTCAGTTTCTTTTTTTTGGTCCTGCTTTGGACAATAACGCAACTATAGCGACAATAAACACAACAGTGTGTAAAAGTTTTGAATGCATTCTGATAAAACTTTGCAGGCATGTCTTCAAGAGGTTAACTCAATGATCCATCGGTCAAAAATTAAAAAGAAGTCTTCTAACTTAGAAACTATAATTCTTACAAGTGCCGTGTGTATTGTCAACATACGCACAATCCCATATAAAGATTTAAAATATCATGCCACACCTCTGACCTCCTAAAGGCAATGATACACCGTACAAGGCTTCTGAATATCAGGCTACTTATATCAGGACTTCTGAACTCATCTTCAGATAAAACTTTTATATCTTTTATCTTTAAAACTCACTGTCTTTGTTTGTATTGGCACCATTTAGGATACGGGGAGTCTAAATATCACATTATAGGTTAAATCCAAGTATGATTTTACCTGTAACCTCACTTGTGATTGATTGATTTTGAATGCTGATTTATGATTAATTAGTGACTAATTAATCATTAACAAAAGGTTATACTTACATATATTATTCTTATTCTTATTATTATTATTATTGTCTCTGCCCCCGCAGTCTAAGAACAACTGGCATGCAATCATTCAAGGCCAACAGATTTACTGATGCCACTGATGCTCTGAAATATGCGTCTAGTTTTCTGTATGTCGACTTCAATAGGAGAAAAACCTGGAGCTCTTTGTTTGTAAAGAGTGACTGATTATCTTGTAGAGTAAATAGACAGTGTGTACTTTAAAAACAAACATGCAGCTGAACACTGACCTTTAACACACGCATGATTTTTACTCTGCACAGTGGTGGCTCCCAAGCTTATTTAAACTAAAAGACAAATGAAGAAATTTGGTGCAGGCAGCAGATAAAAACAGGGACATGGACAAAATGATATTCAGAGTTAGCAATTTGTGGTCTTATGAACCCTAAACTATTGCATGAATCAGTGTGAAAATTTGGCCCTATTCAGGTGGAATCTTAAGAACTTTTCTGTCTTTGATTTTTCATGTTTTGCTTTTTACCAAATTTATATTCACTTGATTCGTTTTATCACACTTCAGGAAATGCAGCCTTTCAGTTTCAGTTTTAAGGGTTTAACGAAAGCATTAACATTTCAGAGACTGAAGATTAATTTGACGGCTGAGTGGCCAAATCAACAATCTGGTACATGCTTAAAAAGAATGAATGTAGTGGTCGGCTCAGCAACACAGAAAGACCACAGAAGAAAACTCAAGTGCACAATGACAGAATCATTTCTGTCACCATTGATATGACAGAGGTTACCAGTCTGACCAGCAACATCCCAGTGGTCAAGTCTAACGCTGCATGCACTGAACACTGGACACACTGTGACGCACTGCTGCTGTCCTCGTCTTGCCTTCGTGCTCAAAGTCACTAGACATGACCCTTTTCTAGACTGAGTTTCTTTGGCTTATTGAAAGTAAAGATGTTCAATAGAGAAACAAAAAGCACGACAGACTCACTAAAGAGTTAAATGTTGTACTGCAGCGCCACATGTCAGATAACAGCTGGAGGGAGAGCAGGTCAGGGCTGCCCGATTTGCAGCAAAGGTTGTTTTTCATGAAAATGCAAAGTGTGGTTTTCTTCATCTCCTGGTTATTGCAAAATGTTGCATTATATCTCTGAGTTGCTTCATTTGCTCTGGATGTTACTTCTGCTTCACATCACAGACTCACTGTAAAATTTTCCCAACTTGTGCAAACTCAACAGATTTTCTAAGAGCCACCTGATTTCTCTTCCTCTATTTGTAGATGACAAACCTGTTGACATTCCTGTTTTGTCCTTTTCTTCCTCTTTAGGGTAAATTTTTTTAGGTTCTATTTCTGTAGACGTTTTGACTCATGTAAGATATTTTTGTATAATTTGACGTTTTGTTTTATTGTTTCTGTCTTAAACTGTCCAGACTGTATTTCAGTACAGATGCAAAAAAAAAAAATCTGCAGTTAGGTCCACACTCTGTTGCACAAAGACACACTTTTTGTAGTATAGTATGACTATACGCTACCACAGGGTTTTAAATCAAACAATTGATTGAACAATTAGCACATCGAGACAACTGTTATTGAGAATTGGTGGTGTATGAATAAAATTTATTTGAATTAAATTAAAGTGCAGACATGCAAGCGAAGAAGGACAAACATCTTTGGACAGATGAAACCAAGATGAGCTTGCACCAGAATGATTTAAGGACAAAAGTATGGATAAGAAGAGAAACGACTCATGATGTCACATCATCTGTCAAACATGGTGGAAGCAGCATTATTGCATGACCACAGATGGCTGCCACTGGAACCAAATTCTAGTAATTATTGAGGCGTGACTGCTGATAGTAGGATGAAAGTGTACAGGGCTGCAGTCTCTGCTCAGGTTCAGACAAAGGACCCAAAGCATGTGCCAAAAGTGACCCAAGAGCTTCTCGAGGCTAAGAAATGGGACGTTCTACAATGGCCAAGTCAGTCAGCTGATCTCAAAAGAGCACGCCTTTTAATTGCTAGAGATAGCGCTAAATGTAGTTACAGGAAGCACAACTTTGAAGCGTAACTATCTTCAGCAGGTACTCGCATTCTTTGCACCCAAGAAAACAGGGTTATAAAAAAGCAGAAGCAGTTATGTTTGCATACGGACGTGATCTTTAATTGTTTTTACTAAACCCAGTGATTAATGTGAACAGTAAAGATCTGGAACAGTCTTTCAGCATCTTCAGTTGAGGATTAATTAAACCTAATAGCCAGTTTAATGTAGAATGCAGTCAATTTTCATGTGCTGCGGTTTGGTGGTCCTTTTAGCTGATGCCACGTTTAAGTCACCACACGATTCCTGCTTGCACGTATCCTTTTGTCAGTTTCATCCGTTCATGGTTGTGTCATGTCATCAAAGTTTTCTTTGTGGTATTTCGACATCTAGCTCAGATTATGCTGAGTGAGCATAACATGAGCAGCAGCGAGTTTAAAATTCTAACAGCTCATGATAAATGATATATCATCATTCAGTATCATGACATCACTCTCTGAGATGGACAAAAATATAAAATACATTATTTCGATAAATGTTGCAACTTAAACTGTGTAGTCTGCAGTATTGTGGTTCAATTCTAGCGATAAACTATGTTGCACACTGTTATACCCTTGGGTACCACCAGAGACATCATAAGAGGAAGCCACTGCTAGAAATATAACTTCCAGTCTGTTTGAGTGCAAAGCAAACTTGTAGGTGGTTTTCATTCGATTTGACAGGATATTTTGTACATAGACTTTTATTTGCCGCTGACCTTGAAAATGAAAGTTAATTTTAGCTAAAAAACTATAAGAGCTTTGATATGTTTAAATATGATTGCTGTGTCTGTGGAATTTCATCTAGATGGAGGCATTTAAGCTGATGAAGTAACAATTGTTAGATTCAACCATTATACTTAAAATTGTCTAAAGCAGAGGTTTCCAACTCCAGGTCTCAGGGGCCGGTGTCCTGCAGGTCTTAGATGTGTCCTTGATTCAACACAGCTGCTCTGCTACACCAGGACAAAGGGTCCAACAAGTCTTTCTTTCCTTTTAATTAACAATATTACAATTATGAGCCCATAAAGAAAAAAGTTTCCTGAAGGATTCAAACTATAATCTCTGGGGTAAGCAGCACGATGATACCTCCAGCTTCAAAATGTGGCATTTTAATTCCACGTGTGTGATGATCATGTTCAGGGAAACAAACATAGGAGGGAGGAAAATGTAACCAGCCATAAAAATAGACTAAACATGAATTTAGACCAAAGTTGCTCAAATCTAAGAGATGAGCAGAAGCTGTCAGTGGATGCTGAAAGCAAACTGTCCAGTTTGAAAAATAATCTTAGGATTATCGTTAGAAGTGGTGGTTTTGTAAATTACACTGCATTATAGGAGTAAAACTGCCCTAGCTCTTCTTCTTGACATGTTTAACGTGAACCGTCAGATCCAGGGTGAACATGAGTGTATGTTAAAGGTTTTTATACATGTCGATGTGTTTCGCTCCCTTTCTCTCTCCGTACTGTAGTTTCTGGGAGGAGGGTGAGCCCAACAACCACATCGATGAAGACTGCGGCTACATCGTGAAAACACGTGTGATGGAGCGCGTGGCGATCCGGAGCTGGTACGACGCCCCCTGCAGCATGTACTTACCCTTCATCTGTGAGAAAGAGATGGGCCCCGGCGCGAGCACTGCCATACCACACTAAGAAAACCAGTTAGTATTTTGTACTGGCTGCTTGGGTTATCTGTCACAGTGTAGTCAGGTCATCAACACTTATTTACCTTTTTGCATTTAATTAACATGTGCCATTTGTGCTCACTGCTCATTATTTGTGACGTGTGTGTGGATAGTTTGCTCTGTCCACAAGCATGAACGCAACAGTGATGGAGTGTCAAAATACATTTACAGTGCTGTCAAGTCCCTGAAGTACCGTGTAGCAGTCAGGACTGCAGTATGGACTGACAACCAGGTTCATGTCCAGATGAGGCCCTGATCTTTCAGACTCGTGCGTATCTCTGTGCCCTCATACAGACGGTAACACAAGGACACTGGGTCTCTGCAAAAGCTTAATCATGTATGAAATAGTTTTGGTTTTGGTTTAGGTTTTGAAAAGTGGTGCGAGAAACTAAAACATTATAACTCTACTTTGGTAATAATACAAAACCTTCAGCATTCATTTATACTTAAATTAAAGCAATCATTATGTAGAACTATATACATAAAAAATTTGCTGATTATTGATTAGTTGCATGTATCTCACTTTAAATGTAAGCTTTATAACATCACTGCATTAAAAATCCCTGGACTTTTATTTTAACATCTGCAGTAAATAATAACTAAAACTAAAGAAACTGTATGAAGTTAAAAAAATGTGTTTGTATTCAAAGCATAGTGGAGTAGCGTACACTGGGCTCTCTGTGCTCAGTGGCATTAACAGGAATAACAGCCGCCCTCCTCTGGACCTGTCGCTGGCTTCTATTCAGTGTTTCTGTGCCTTAAACTGCAGAAATATTTTTATATATTTTTATATGATTCACTATCAGAGTTAAATCAGGGATTCAAGTTGAATCAAGATAAATGCTTTTAAATGTCTGTTTTATATTTGGAATCAGATATGTTATGTGTTAGATGTCTGTGTGTATATACTGTACATAAAATACACGTCATGTTTGATCCATACGTGATGTAGCCACATGTGTAACATTCCCCTCTTTGAAGATGTGCTTTGAGAAGTAAAAATGTTTGTTGTCCCGTGGCGTAAATAACGACTGTATTTTCTCCATGGGTGTAAGCTGTTGCTGTCACTCATATCTGCCATGTGAATACAAAACGTGCACCTATCCAGCAGCAGACATGAGCAGTCTGTTAACGATGAATCTGTCTGTTCTCTTCATGAAACATGATGGCTTGTTTGTAACGTCTCCTCCCTGCAGTGCTGTTGTTGCCCTGCAGGTGGCGCTGCTACCACAATCAGCCTGTCAGGATGTTGACTACAGCAGAGTCTGTGGACTAAAATTACAATAAATTAAAATAAGTCACTTAAAATAACTTATGTGTGTAATTTCTTCCTGCTGGGAAATAATTTCCTGTAAAGTTGCTGAAATTAAAAACAGTTTGAATGTTTTAAATTGTGTTTTTAGATTAAATCAGTTTTAGAGTTGTTCCCTGAGGGGAAAGTAATTTATTGTGATTTATTATTTTCTATCTGGTCAACAAAATGAATATAAATATAATTTAGATATATAAGATATCATAATGAAAAAGAAATCTAGTTATCTATTCTAATTCATTTTTATTTCACTTCTCCTTCACTATATCAGCTCTTTTATTATTATTATCATTATTATTTACATGTACAAAAAACAAGCCTCAAACGCCTCATTCCATCCTTGCCGAGCTGAAAGACCCACATTCCCTCATCTCGTCTGCTTCCTGTTAAAGTGGGCCAAAATCCTCCCTGAATGAAGAGTGTTTGCTGAGCCCTGCGCTTGTACTCCAGCTCCTGAGCTTGTTACCACATGGAGTTTTCAGGAAGTCAATTAGCCCTTTTCTGTCATGGTTCATTAGCTTGGGTTGGAGGAACACGCTGACTCCTTCCTGACACTGTTATAATAATGTTCAACCAGCAAATCACACCAGGAAGATTTCAAGTGATCACTGATGAAAATTATTATACAAAGAGCTCAAATAGCATCTACAGTCATCCAAACTGAACACTATGACAGTCATATTTTTTCTGTTTATGAACGTATTAGTATAAGTTAGTATAAGTTTGTCAGATTTTTTATTTTTCAGGAAGTAAGGTTATATAAGTAGGTAACGGTGCGTCATGGCTGTTGTCCACTTTACAGCTGAGAGCTCGTTTTGAGGTCACAATGTGGCGAGT